AATACTGGCTTCCTAGAATGAGTTTTGGTAGCATTCCTTCCCCTTCTAGTTTATGGATTAGTTTGAGGAATGTTAATGTTACTTCTTCTTGGAGGGTCTGGTAGAATTCAGTAGTGACTTCTGGTCTTGAGCTTTCTTTTTGGGGACACTTATTACTTCTTTAATCTTACTGCTCATTATAAGTATATTTAAGTGATTTATAACCTCTTGGTTCAATTTTGGTAGGTCATAGTCATTAGAAATTTATCCATTTCTTCTAGATTTTCCTGTCTTTTTGATATACATTTTTGACATATTCCTTAATGATTCTCTGAATTTCATTGATATTTGTTGTGATAATCCTCCTTTTTACCTCTAATTATATTAATTAGCATCTTTTCCCTCTTTATTTGTGTTAGTTTTGCTAGGGGCTTGTTTATCTTGTTTATCTTTCCAAAGAACCAAGTCTTTGTTTTATTGATTCTTTGTATTATTCTTTTTGTATCCATTTCATTAATTTCTACCCTGATCTTTATTATTTTTTCCCATCTGTTGTTTTTGGGTTTGGTTCATTCTTAGAATTTTCTTATATTTTTAATACTTGCTTCATGTCCTAAATTATGATATATTTTAGAGAAAGTTCTGTGAGTTGCTGAGAATAATGTGTATTCTATCTATTGGGTAGAATATTCTTAAGTCCATTTGAGCTATAGTGCTGTTTGATTTAAAAGTTTCTTTATTAATTGTTTTCTCATCTTTTGGCTTGAGTGGAGTGTTAAGCCACCTGTTTTGTTATGTTGGGGATATATCTGTGCCTTTATGTCCAGTAGTGTTCATTCTATGAAATTGTGTGTGCCAAAATTTGGTGTGTATATGTTTACAATTGTGATATCTTCTTGATGGATTGTTCCCTTTTATCAATAATGTGACCTTCTTTGTCTATTCTGACTAATTTGATTTTGAAGTCTTCTTTTTCAGAGATGAATATAGCCACTCCTGCTTATTTCAGGTTCCATTTACTTGGAATATCTTTTTCCATTCCTTCATTTCTCTTTTTCAGTGAGGTGCACTTCTTTTAGGCAACAAATGGTTGGGTCTTGTTTTTATCCTTTGGTCTATATCATTCTATTGGAGACCATTGACATTTATAGTTATTATTGAAAGGTATGTATTAATTCCTGACATTTTGCTGTTTTTGTAATGTTTGATACTTTCCTAATCCTAATTTGCTTGTATACTCATGTAGTGAGATTTACTTTCTCCCATATTCTCCTGGCTATGTTTATCATTCTCTTTTGTATGTAGGATTCCTTTAAGTATATTCTGCACTGCTAGATTGGTGATCATGAATTACTTTAGTTCTTATTTATCATAGAAGGTTTTTATTTTTCTTTCAATTATGAAAGATAGTTCTTTTGGGTACAGTAAGCTATGTTGAAAGTTATGTTTTGGGGACATGGAATACACCATTCCATGCCCTACTTGCTTTTAGAGTTTCTGTTGAGAAATCTGTTAATCTGATGGGTTTACTTTCATATGTGACTTGGTGCTTCTCTCTAACAGCATTCAATATTCTTTCATTTTTCTGCGTACTAAATGTATTAATTATAGTATGACATGAAGAGGTTCTTTTCTGGTCTTGTCTGGTTTCACAAAAGCCTCCTATACCTGGACAACTGTCTCTTTTCAAGATTTGGGAAATTTTTTACTATTATTTTATTGAATATATTTTCTATGCCATTAGCTTGCACCTTCTCTCCTTCTATGTCCACAATTCATTGGTTTGGCCTTTTCTTTTTAGTGGTTGATAAGTAGACATTCCACCACTTGAACCATGCCCCTAGCCCTTTTTGCTTTAGTTATTTTTCAAATAGGATCTTACATTTATGCCCAGGCAGGCCTAGACTGCAATCCTCCTATTTACACTTCATACATGGCTGAGATGACAAAAGCATGCCACTATGCCCAGTTTTTTATTAGTTGTGGTGGAAGTCTTGTGAAATTTTTGCCCAGGCTGACCTCAAACTATGATCCTCCCCATCCTATCTCCCAAGTAGCTAAGATTACAGGTGCCAGCCACTAAGCCTGGCTTTGTTTTGGTCTTTTCAATGGTGTCCCAAAGATCTTGTGTGTTCTGTTCATATTTTCTACTTTTTTCTTCTTTATCTGAATGCTCTAATTCACCTACCTTTTTTCAATGGCTGTTATTTTATCTTCAACTTGATTCAGTCTATTGGCTAATCATTCAATCGAGTTTTTCATTTGACTTATTGAGCTTTTCTTTTCTAGAATTTGAATTTAATTTTTTCAGAATTTCTATAACTTTATTGAATTCCTTTTCTATATCCTGCATTGTTTATTGTTTTCCTTATTTTATTTAGCTGCTTATTTGTATTCTTTTGAGTTTATTCCAATGTTTATAATTTCCTCTTTTTTGAAGGGACTAGAGTTTGAACTCAGAGCTTTGCACTTGCAAAGCAGGTGCTCTACCACTTAACCCAGTCCATTTTCCTCTGGTTATTTTGGAAATAGGGTCTCATGAACTATTTGCCTGAGCTGGCCTCAAACCACAATCCTCCTAATCTCAGCCTCCCAAGTAGCTAAGATTACAGGCATTAGCCACCAGTGTCCAGTTATACATTTCCTCTTTACATTCACTGATCATTCTTACAATCATTCTTTTGAATTCTTTGCAATTTTATCTGCTTTATTTCCATTAGAGTATATTCTTGTGGAGTTGCTGTACTTGGAGGACTCATGTTGCCTTGTTTTTTCATATTTCATATGTTTCTGCATTGGAATTTGTGTATCTGAGGCCAATTCAGTTTTAATCATTCATAGTCTTTCAGTTCAAGTATTCTCAATATTCAGGCAGGACTGTACAGTGACAGGGTTGAGGTGCAGTTTCTTACCACAGGACTGGAGGTGTAGCTGTGTAGCCAAACATTTGCCCTCATTCTCAGGCCTCTGAACCCAACTCCAGCACCATTCAGATAAAGAAAAACTGGCTAGGGTGTCCTGTAGTTCCTAGTGTACAGATTAGTGTTATATGTTTTTAAAGGCAGAATCAGTCTAGGGTCAGTCGTCCACTTCTGTACTGCTTACACTAAAGCTTCTCTTCTTTGTTTACTGGGAACCTCTATGGGCACAAGAAACTTTGCAGCTTGTGGATCAGGTAAGTTCCCACTTGATCCACCCCCCACCCCCAGATTGTGCCCCCAGGTCCAGCAAGTGTCCAAGCCTAAGGATGTTCCCCAAATGTGTCAGATAGAGGAGAGGCAAACAGAGCACTGAGTTCTTTGCTGCTAGTAGAGAACTCAGGGACTTAGATGCTCTGCCTGTCTGTTTCAGTGCTTTCACACCACATGCAGAAGTTCACCACCCTGGAGAAATACTGTGGTTTACAGGACCTAGCAGCAAACACCTACAATGGGCAGGAATCTTCTGGAGGCCTGGCTCAGTGCTTTCAGACCCAATAGTTCTCCACCCTGTGGGATGGAGGGGGCTGTGGAAATCACATGATTCTCAGGAACGTGATCAGAACTCCCAATTCTATCTGGCAGTAAATACCTGCAACTGGCAGTCAGCTCCCAGAAGCTGAGCTTCCACCAGCCACAAGCTCAGTGCTCTATTTCTGCAATGATCTTCAGGTAATGAAACTTGCTCCTCACTAGAGAGGGAGGGGCCGGTGACTACTTCACCTTTCACAGCACAGCTTCCTGATGCTGCTTAAATTTCTCAGTGTGCCCATGTCAGTCTTTTTCTCTCTTCACAATCAACTCTTTTAGCCATCTCCCATGCAAACACTGTGACAGGGTATCCAAAGACTCCCTGAGTTGCAATTGCTCCTTGTTTTCAAGTCCCCAGAGTAGCTTAGTCTCAAACAGTAAGCCCCACTCTCAAGATGGGACCTCAATCTGGCTCTCTGAGATACAGGGAGCAAAAAATATCTTTCTTCTCCAAACCTAGTCTTAGTTATGCAGAAGAAGTCACTGTTGTACCAAATCCCCACACTGGGTTTAAGGTTTTTCGTGTAGCTATGTCTGCCAACCTGTTGCCTTCCTTCAGTTTCTTATATGTCCTAAGTGCAAGTCTACTGAAAGGTCTTTGTACATTTTATTTCCTCTGTTTAAAATACTCTTTTCCTACCCATTCTCCAAGGTTACTTTTACTCCACCTTTGAACTCAGTTGAAATTCCAATTTCTCAGGAAAAATCATCCCTAATAAATTTCACATAGATTTCTCTAAGGTTTTGTCACATACTTATGAAATGCACTACCTCCCTTCAAATAATTTATCTCTGCTAATAACAGAGTTAATTGGTGTGTGTGTGAGAGAGATACAGAGACAGAGATAGACTGGTATATGGTAAACACTATTGTTTATGCAATGAATATTTAATAAGTGAATGAATGAGTGTATGAAGAATGAAAGGTCCACATATTAATTCATTATATATAAAATTTCAAAACAGAAAAATGCATTGCTGTTTTCAATCAGTAGGAAAAAGATGACTTGTTTTAGTTAATGGTTTCAAACAACTATTAACTATTGTTTTAAAAAATAAAATACTAGAGGAGACGTCCCAATCCACTTCTTGCACCAGAATAGATTCAAATAGATGAAACTAATGCAAAAATGAAACCATAAACCAGGCAGCAGTGGCTCACACCTGTAATCCTAGCTACTCCAGAGGCTGAGATTGGGAGGATTGTGGTTCAAGGCCAGCCAGGGAAAATCGTTCACGAGAGCCTCTCTCTAAAATAACCAGAAGAAAATGGACTAGGTGTGTGGCTCAAGTGGTAGAGTACCTGCTTTGCAAGTATGAAACCACTTTTGATTTTCTACATAATTAGATTATTTGATTCATTATTTTTCTCAGCCCATAGATTGAAGAATCTTTATGATGTAAGGACCTCCAACTTTTTTCCAAGAACTAGTTCATTTCCCAGTAGGCACTCAATATATGCTTATTGAAAAAAATAAATGAGTGAACTGAGGCCTTTCTCTATCTTAATAGGCTGGAAGTGATGGGGAGAGTATTGGAAACTGTCCATTTTGCCAACGCCTTTTCATGATCCTCTGGCTTAAAGGAGTTAAATTTAATGTAACTACTGTTGACATGACCAGGTAAGAGAAATCAGGACATGTTAAATTCTAGGGCATACACTTAGTATAATGTTGGTGTTTGTATATTATGTGACTAACTCTACTTATTTTCAATAATCTTAGAAAGCCTGAAGAACTGAAGGACTTAGCCCCAGGTGCCAATCCTCCCTTTCTGGTGTATAACAAGGAGTTGAAAACAGACTTCATTAAAATTGAAGAGTTTCTAGAGCAGACACTGGCTCCTCCAAGGTACAACACTTTACAAGACATATTATACTTATGATGATCTTTTCTGTTGGTCTGTTTATTGCAGATTGAGGATTCTTACTAATTTAAAAGTGCTTTGGCAATTCTGGGCTTACATGTCAAATAAAACACATGGTAAACCTTCTCTTTCAACTTCATATACATAATGATGATAGATATGGCACTTCAAATGATTTTTAATGCATAGTATATTTTAAAAAATGAAAGTAAACTCTCTGTGGTCTTGAAATAGAGAAAGAACTCACAGTGTGATGGGAGTGAAGGGGCAGGGTACTAACACCATATAACTCATGAGGACTGATCAGGACTGGGCTTAAACACCACTGATAGAAATGAGGTTAGAACATACCCAACACAAGGACTAGAGTCCAAGAAATACATTTTAAGCAGTATAGCCAAAAGCCAGAACTGCACTGTCTATACTTGAATGACAAATATATACATATAGTATGCATATATACTCACCCAAGGTAGTATTTAGTTTGAGCTGTATTCATTTTATTTTGCTGTTCAATAAATTTGGCATCTTAAAACAATACTCATTTGTTATTATTTCATAGTTTTCATTGGTCAGAAGTCTGGGCATGTTCTGCTATACCCCCCTGCTCAGGGCCTCACAAAACTGAAATCAAGGTATTGATTAGGGATATGGTTCTCATCTGGGGCCCAGAGTCTTCTTCCATATTCATCTAACTTTTGGCAGAATTCAATTTCTTGCAGCTGTATGACTGAAGTCTTGGGTTACTGAATTGTTGCTCTACTACTTATCTTTGAAAATTGATGGTATTGCTACCATGTCTTGTGCCATGCTTTTACAAGCAAGTATGGGAGCCTAAGCACCATTTTAAAACATTGTTGATACAGGTAAATGAACTTTGAATTCAAGAAAATAATTTCCCAGTGAACTTTAGCAATTAAAGTATTCAGAGTTTGGGGAAAAATATATTCTTACTGAGAGATTTCTGAATATCTTCAGTTTCCAGCACAGTTTTCCAATATTTTCATTCTCTGTACAGTGCAAGCTAGTACACCTGGCTCTGTGTTAATATGTGTGAATGATAGTTCACTCATTTTTTTAAGGTATCCTCACCTGAGTCCTAAGTACAAGGAGTCCTTTGATGTGGGCTGTAACCTCTTTGCCAAGTTTTCTGCATACATTAAGAATACACAAAAAGAGGCAAATAAGAGTAAGATTTCTTTTTTAAATCTCTATTTTCTCACTTACTTGCTCATTCTCACGTTCTCAATGCTAAAATAGAATTTTCTTGAATATATAGTGCATGTTAGAGATCACCTTCTCTTCCTCTCATGTTCTGTTCTGTCCCCTGAAATTCCCTTGCATTAGGTATTATTGGATTTCAAACCCAAGATTCAATATACCAATCATCAGTATAGCTCAACTACAAAATCAATATGCTAGGTGTGAACAAGTTAAAGAACTGTGTACCTTTACATTTCCTTAAATTGTAGCACCTACAATATCCCACAAACATTGTTGAATACCTTTACTATCCTCTGAGTCATGAGAACTGTTTCCCTTTCCCCTTTCTTTTTTTTTTCTCTCCTACCAATGCACCTACCCAAGAAAAGTCCATGTGACTCTGTCTCATCAATGGATAGTTGAACATTGTAAATTGTTTAGGTGTTGAAGAGCCAGTTTAGGTAATGTGTATAGGCAGAAATGTCTAAACTGTGAAAAGTATATTAAGAACATATTTACTTATAAAGACAATACATTTATATCTAATGTTCTGACTTCATTGTATCAGATTTTGAAAAATCTCTGCTCAGAGAATTTAAGCGTCTGGATGACTATCTAAATACCCCACTTCTGGATGAAATTGATACAGACAGTGCTGAAGAACTTACAGTTTCCAGAAGACTGTTCTTGGATGGGGATCAACTAACACTGGCAGACTGCAGCTTGTTACCTAAACTGAACATTATTAAAGTAAGTTTCATGGCATGGGAGGGGTTTGTCGGAAGCACAGTGACTTTCCAGTATAAGACTGATACATGATAGCTTTGTCATCATTGTTGTGCGTACTGTTTCTCTTCCTCAGGGAAAGGATCCATAATGATTTTATCTGGGAAGGATTAAAACTTCTTGTTTCTTTCTTTTTACACTGTCTTCTCAACAAAATAAGAATAAAAGCCAGGTGCTAGTGGCTTACACCTATAATCCTATCCACTTGGGAGGCTGAGACCAGAAGGATCATGGTTTGAGGTCAGCCTGGGCAAAAAGTTTGTGTGATCACATCTCAACCAATAGTTGGGTGCAGTCATGCCACCTGTCATCCCAAGCCACATGGGAGGCTGAGACTGGGAGGATTGCAGTTGCAAGCCAGCCCAACAGAAAAGTTTGTAAGACTCCATCTCAACAGAAAAAAAGCTGGTTATTGTGGTGTGCCCCTGTCATCCCAGCTATGCAAGAAATATAAAATAGGACATAGTCCAGGCTGGCCTGGGCAAAAAGCAAAACCCTATGTTCAAAATAACTAGAGCAAAAAGGGCTGGAGGCATGCTTCAAGTGGTAGAACACCTCCCTAGCAAGCACAAAACCCTGAGTTCAAACCCCAGTATCAGCAATAATTAATTAATTAATAAGAACATCCCCTTCATTCAATAAATTAGAACGTATAAAATGCTTATAACAAGCTGTGCTAAATAGATCACAGCATGTGATGGACAATGTAAAATATTAATATAATGACAACTATTTAATCATTAATTTAAAAAATATTCATTGAACAGAACTTATTCTCTATACCAGACAGAGTACATAAAGAAAGAAGACATAATTAAGGACCCTAAGTAAACTCCTTCTAGTGGGAATGTTATGTGCTCCATTTCTTTGCTCCCCTCCTATACACACATTCATAATTAAACATAAAGCATCAATATAAACATGATTGCAAAAATGGAGATTTTTCTGTATTTATAGACAGAACATTAAAATTTTTAATCCAAGATTTTTTTAGTTTATTTTGGCTTTCATTTCTCTTGGCCTTTGATATGCATTTCTACATTACTGATGCCTTTACTACCAACTTAATTTTCCTCTTTTTTCCCCAAAAATCCTAGGTTGCTGCCAAGAAATACCGTGACTTTGACATTCCAGCAGAATTCTCAGGAGTGTGGCGCTACCTCCTCAATGCCTATGCCCGTGAAGAATTTGCCCACACATGCCCTGAAGATAAAGAAATTGAAAATACCTATGCAAGTGTCGCTAAACAGAAGAGTTAAGACAGCTCTTTCAGGAGAAAAAGTTCATTTGTTATCAAATTTCACTTTCTATGATATTAGAAAGAATTTTGGAAATAATATGGAAAATGTTTCCCTTATCCAAGTCACTTGTGTAAAACAATTCAGTATTTTCTGTTCTAATTTGCCACAACAGCATCTATCCACTGTGTATTTTAAGAGATCCTCATATTTTTACTTCATCTTCTTTATTCCTATAGCAAACAACTGCAATCTTGAACAACATGGAAAGTGTCAAGATCTTTTGCACTTTGCTTTGCACTTTTTTTGAGTTCCTAGAACACATAAGCTAAACATATGTGTGAAGTTACAAATGACATAAGTAGAGCCACAATTTTGAACTGCCTTTTAGAAACAATGCCATCTGAATCATCATAATTTTTCACATTTGTTACTTTAATACATAGATGAGTCTATTTCTGATATGAATAATAAAGTCAGAAAGTGAGCATTTCAGAGAGGCAAATTCAAAAATAATGATTTTTAAAAATCATTAAAGATGGGTAGAGTTGTGACTCAAGTGGTACAGTGA